AAGCTTCAAACCTGCAGCTAGAGGTATATTGGCTACCTCCATACATGTATACTTGTATCAGTTTTTAGCTACATGTACATCATAAATGACTAGGTAATTATCTGTTTCAGATTACATCGAACAGTGTCAACCCCCAAAAAATATTATTATGGATCAATAAAGAGCATTTATTGCTCTTTCATTTGGCATCAGCACTCCCACTTTCTATTGATTAATAGCCTTTATTGAAGTTGTATCCTAAAAATGGAGATAGATCTAAGGACAATAAAGCATGGTTGACATTCCATGTTAGAAACATTCAGAATAAAAAAAAGATATGTTAGTATAAAAAAAAAAAAACTAAACAAAAGTACAACAACAAACTTGCCCGAAAGTGTATATATAAAGAGTGTATATGGCTGACATTAGTCTAAATCTTGGTAAAATTGCCATGGTTAACTTACTAGAATCATTTTAGGCACAATTCCAGAAGCCGAACCTACACACAAATTGGTGACGTCACAAAATACATGGCCTTCAATCGGGGTCGTTTGCTCGGTATATACGAATTGGTATATACAAATTACAATAAAGATACTTAAGACATTACACATAAGGTGGAACAAACAAAGAACGTCGCGAAAAAATAATACACCTCACGAAACTCCACCATACAAAACTGAATGAATAAATAATAAAATACTTTGTGTCTTAAACTGAACGACGCGCAATTTGTTCAACAGTTACCAGGTTGTGACAAGAGATAAACAGAAGACCAAAGTCAAGTAAGTTTTGTTAGGTATTAAAGTTTCACTCTAGCGTTCCCTATTACGAAAACAATTCAGGCAACAAATGAATATCTTCTGTGGTGTTGTGGAATTTATACGGTGTCTGTGGAATTGTTGATTGAAGGTTCAAATTCAGCAGTTGACGTTTTGTTTCACAATTAAATCAAATATCCAAAGATACCAGAATATTTATTTCATTAATTTAACACCTTGCAATGGTGGAAGTTGATCAAACACAAGTTCTTTATATCTAAATAAGTATCAAATATTTGTCAACACATCTGTTCTCTCAATTTAACAAGTTTTAATGGTGGAAAATAATTAAACAAGAGTTGTTCACACCAAAATAATTATTAAATATTTGTGGAGACTTTTGTTCTCTCAATTTAACAACTTGTAATGATTGGAATTAATCAAACGTGACTTGTTTACACCAAAATAAGCCTCAAATATTTGTTGACACATTTGTTCTCTCAATTTAACAACTTGTAATGGTGGAAATTAATTAAACGCGACTTGTTTACACCAAAATAAGCCTCAAATATTTGTTGACACATTTGTTCTCTCAATTTAACAACTTGTAATGGTGGAAATTAATTAAACGCGACTTGTTTAATCTGGACACTCCTACAAAAGATATGAAAGATATTAAAGACATATAGAGCTTAAAGTACACCAAGAACTCAAGTCAGCTCAATAACAGAATACAAGAATACTACCTCACATGGAAGCCAGTCACAGTGCAGCGGTCGTCGAAGTACGGGCCTGATTAACAGCTGCAAGTCACATGTACACCAACAGACACCAGGATTATTACTGCTCTCCAAATTCCTCCTTTCTAACTCTTGCCCCCAAAAATAATATATCGCCCCTTTTAGAATGTATTGACCCCAAAACTAATGAATATTCATAAGCACAGAAACTTCCCATGTCATGAATAAATTAGCATAATTTTAAAAAAATTGCATAAAGTGTAGGTATGTCTTCTGGAATTATGCCTCATTTTATTACATGCATATCATGTGTGGTTGTTTTATGACTAATATTTTATCAGATCATTTGTCTACAAAATTAAAGTTGCCTGTCCATTAGACAAGTGGGGATATAAAAGTACTCGGGTTTTTTTCTAAACTGGGGAACAGGAGGCGCAGCGCCCTGATACTCTCGGCTGGTGCCCTCTTACTGAATTGCCGATTGGACTTTAAGGTAGCGAGAAGGGTTTTGTAACGTTTTCGAATAAAACATTCTCTGTCTGTTGTCTCGTTCAGAACAGTGATTTAGCTTATATATTTCAAAAGACTAAGTACATGTATAGAGGTACAAGTTCGCACAAACTGGACAGTCATTGTTTACATAATGATCACGTGATATCAAAAATGGCGAACCTTGTAAAAATGACTAAGTCTGCGATTGCGAGAGCACACTGCGGAATTTCCTGGTGAAATTTACGTCATGCATTGTCCGTAATCAAGTCCATTGAAATGTGTCCCCTGTAATCAAAAGACCTATTATTCCGATTTCTATGCAGGTTTGTTTTTTTGTCCCCAAATTATTTCATACTTGACACCTTTAACAGACTATTATTCTGTGACAAAGCATTTTCTTTAAAAACCCAGACATATTTCGCACCATCATTATCTTTTGAACAATAACTGCGAGTTTGAATGTCCTAGTCCAAACGCACTTGATTTGGCGGCGGTCCCAATGAGTCGTACTCAGTCAAAACTTCAACTGGAGAAAAACGTGGAAAACAGTTTTGGTTAATAAAACACTGTAGATTTGCTGTATTATAAATATACACTAAAAATGACCAAACGTATTAACCACTGATATCATAGAACTCATACAGAGTGTCTGATAATGAATAATTTCAAGCTCTAGCGTGAAAAATGAAGAAAACTGCTGGCATTTGGGACCGTACTCCAGGAACGTTCGGGTTTCCATTGTTATGCAAACGAACAACGAGGGATAATCCTCTGACAAACATTACTGTCCCACTGTACACGCTGACAGTTTACAAACAAGCTAATTCTTCAAATGTCTCTGATAAGAGATCTAATAAAACGGTTTTCATGGTGAAACAAAATGGCAGATGTTTGAAAAAAAAAATGCTGTTTCAGAGTGCGACACTGAGTGGCAGATTTTTCTTTGCCTCGTCTGTCAACGCTTTCTTTCCTTCGCCATTGCGTTAGAAAAAATGGTATCAGTAAAATAGAATATTGACTTGAAAAATAAAACGATTTAAAAGAAAGTTGCGCAAAGTTACCGTACTTATTTCGCACAACCTCCCGCTTCCGCTTTCCAATCACCTTTCTCTCTCGCATTTGCGACCGCTTGTTGAATTCGACCGGACAATTTTTGTTTTATTTTCGACCACGCAAAGCCCGAAATATCACCACAGGCCCGCCCGCGCGCTCGCGCGCATGCATTTAAAATTCAGACTAATAGAAAAATTTCCGAGGTTCACATTGTCTTATAATTGTCTTTCTGGTTTTTATGAATGTTGAACAGCTGACAAAAGTTCAAATACTTTTTGTTTTAACTATCTATAATTTTATGCACACAATCTGACCCTTTGACCTCAATTTGGCTTGGACTGAATATTTTATTTTAAACAATATTCTGACGTGAAATACAAAATGTATTTCAACACAAGTACCACATGGTTGTCTGGGTTTTCTGAGTCTTCGCGATGTGTTTTGTATAATTATTGTTGTTTTCCCCCCGAGGCAAATACAAGCTGAAGGACCATGAAGCTAAATGGCAGTTCCATACATGGGCTGAGTGAAAGGAAATATTTCTAAGCCTAAAATAAAACCTAATATTACACCTCTTTGCGTATTTGTTAATTTTACATATGTTTTTCATGACAGTATGTCTGTAAATATCTAAAAAAATCTCGTCTTTCTTTGATAATTTCGATTGTTTGGAATGTCTGTCGGCCGTCTCCCAATAATTTGTTTGGAATGTCGATCCCAGTTGGTTTCTCCATACTGAGTTTAGAAAGGGCGTCGATCAACAAAATCAGCCGAGACAAGACAAACATTGACCCTAATCATTCATGGGAACCATGTCCGTAATGTGTGGGCTGAAACCCCAAATAATTAAACAAGTATTATTATTACTATGATATATATTTTATTTTACATCGCAAAATTACAACAGAGCTAGAATTGTTTGCGGTGAAACAACTGCATTGAAGACGATGCAACTTCAACTAGCCATTTCTTACCTTGAAATAAAAAATAAATAAAAATTCGACGAAGAGCATCGGGGAAAATATTAATAATAATTCTTATCAATTAATTGCTTTATTTTATTTGAATCCGTGAAATTCACAAGTTTTTTAACATTTGTTGGCAACTTCCGTGCTAAAAAAGATTGAAAATGTGGGTGTGGTTCTTTTGCGAGGTCCTGTTGTTAATACGGACAAATATGGTTCTGTGACCCAGGTCGTGCTCCGATCATGTGACTTTCAGCCAATCAATGATGTTGTAACAAAGCATATTTGACGCTAATTGAAGGGTTGCCGTACCATCATCCAATTTCCGGCGTCGATTCACATAGTGTTTTTGTGCTGTGGGAGGCTTCAAAATTATTCTCTGAAAAACATCAATATATTTTGACAAACGGGTGGAATTTGACCTCAGTTCAAAAAGAAAATACTAGGCTAAGATACATTAGAGTTCACGCGAATCAGTTTTCTCTGCAAGTTGGGAAATAAAGTAAACCAGAGTAGGGTCGATGATTTTCAGCCCTGAAGGACTTCCGTGTGAATCCTGAATTTTGAATTTTTCATTGACTGGCCACCAAATATTTATGGCTATAACTAAATTAGACTGAACTCATTCAATGATCGGGACTTATTTTTGAAAATTTAATGAAAAATTTTACCAGACCGGCCGACGTGGATTTGGTATCGTTATTTTTGGAATTAATCATTTCCATTTCATTAACATTTCCTTGTTTCTCTGCTCTGTCAAAATGAGTTACCTACGCTTTTTTCACGTAACTGTCTCATTAAAATAATAAAAATATTACATCTAGAACAAGCACCCAAAACACGTAACAAGAGGTTCCAGTTCAGTTGCTTTCACGATACAAGTGTCATACAACTATTAGATTTGAAGTGTCATTCAGAATTTAATAATAGTTAATACTAGTTGTATGTTCACACTTTACTATCAAAACCACCATTTTGACCACTCATGTGCCAGTGATCAGTGTTTGAGCGAGTGGTCGGTGTTTCAATGAGCGAGCGGGCGAAAAAAAAAAACGCAATTAAAATGCGGTCGGTCTCCAATGGTCGGAAATTAAGGGATAAGCGGTCAATGTAAAAGCGGAAGGTTGGGCGAAATGAGTACTGTATGCCTAGACTGTATGACCATGTTTCCCTGACGAAGTCTTGACTGACAATAGTGGCGTTCACGTTAGAGATCTCGGCACGTGCCGAAAAGAACTTGATCTCGGTCCGCATAGATGCTTGGGACCGAAACTCGGCACGTGCCGAAATCACGCCCTCAGTGGTAAATTTAAGAAAAACATAAGTTGATTGATACTAGCATGAAATGACGATGACAGGAAATTCAGAGATACTAGTATATGGTCAAATGCTGTAGTAATGAATGAAACGAATGCAAACCGTTGTCAGCAACGCATATTTATGTGCTGCTGCAACCGCTATTTTCTTGCACATTTTACATTGACATGAAAATAATAATTGTGTTTCGAATCTTCTTTGCCGTTCATGTGTACGAGGACTAGTAATAAACACCATTGCAATAAATGAATATAATTTCACTATAACAATTATTATTATCATCATATGCGTATCATTTTCCATGTTTGGGCCAACAGATCAACGATTGAAGGCGTGATTTCGGCACGAGCCGAGTTGGTCCTAAGTGGGTCCTGAATAACGTGAACACAACTGCTGTAATCCCTCTGTAAACACAACGGATTAAAAATTTCGGCACGTGGCGAGATTTCGTAACGTGAACGTAGTAAATAATGCTGATAATGGACGTTAGATAAACACGCACTGTTTGCGACGGGAAGCTTATCACCCGTTATATCAGAATCGTCAACAACAGAGTATACAGATAAGATGTTATCATTTAATCCCTTCCAAAGATAAACATTATGCAAATATCCATGAAACGGCAGTTGTAGTCTTTTCTGCTTTTAAAACACTAATTTAAGCAATGTTATTTCGCAATTCGATCTTTTGTAAACCTGGGATGATGTATCAAGGTCTAAAGTAACCGTTTTATCAATTTTTGAAAAATCAAGAAAAAAGTGAAAATTTCCCTTTCATAAATATATTTCTTGAGCTGCGCACTTCCGTGCTGCCGTACAACATGAAATCTTTCTCAAATATATTTTTCTCCTAGAAAACTTCCCAGCAACACCAGCTGACAAATGTGTCTGGACACCAAATACACTAAAATTACTCCAAAAATATTTCAATGGCGATAGATACACCTTTCAAACGGCACAGAAATCTTCGATATGGCGTTTTCAGGTTGATCGCCTGTGTGTGCTCCCTCTTGTTCATTTTTCCTAGAAAAAAAACCTGATATATTATAGAATTAGGTGTTCTGAATGCACAAAGAAAAAAAAAATTGTTTTTGTATCAACTCCAGTATTTTAATTTTTTCTATTATAGCTTGCAGTATACATCAGTCATGGTCTGTCCGATCAGCAAGATATATCAATACAAGTTGTTTAATTCATAACAGGTATAGTGTATGGGTTTTCACTTGAAAGTTAAAATATTCCCATCCATGGTGGTGAATACTACATTGTTTTCCTTACCAATTACCAAGTAGTTTAACCACTTGATAAACGGAGAAAATAACATTTGGAAAGATCACAGTATTTTACAGATTCATGTAATAAGTACATAATATTGACAATACATTTTTTTATTGTAATTTAGAAACTTTTATAGAGCACTCTGCCTTGTAGACCCACACTCCATAATTAAGTATCAAGGGAAGGGACACAGCACATAGTGACAGACATTTCTGGTGGACATCAAAAAACTAGTGGCTTGCCTGGGTATTTAGGGCTTACCACGGTTTTGCGAACATTATTGCCTTGTACATAATAGTGAAATAGTCTTGTACATCTAGAATTTATTTTTTCATCAAAAGCAGGTTCTTCATTTATTCTGAAACGTACATCTGCATTTGTTTGAACATTTAAATTAGTTTATAATTGGGTTAAACTACATCACCAACTTTCTTTTGTTTACAATAGATGTGGAAGTTCTATAATGCATAGTGGAAATAAATCACACCACCCAAGCTAAAACATTCAAACAGTACAAACCATTTTTGGTTGACATTAATTGGCTGTTATATCTCTTACTAGTATTACATTTTTCTACAAACAGAAAAAAGACGCATAATTAGAGTTATCACTAGATACTACAAAGTATAACAAATGTAACGACTGATGCAGAAAATGATGCAATCCTGTACTGCCTTTATGCATACTTATTGTATGGTATTCTCATGATAACCTAATAGTACGAAGGGATGTGGCCAATATGAAAGCGCGTTGGGTTCAGGTGTATTATAAGGTATAGCTGGAAACATAGTAGAGCCTTACATATTAAATAATTTCAGATTTTCCTCTCGGAGCTATTCTGGGAATCCCAGTATAGATGTTGAAGATATTGAGAGAAGATTATCAATACCTCAAGAAAAGACTAATGGTAAGATATCATACTTGTGCGACTAAGCGTCCAGGTTAAATAAACTCACACCAAGCATACATTGTTCAATTCAAAAAATATTCTATTTATGAACTTTTCAATGCTTGTTGTGACATTAGCTTTTTTAAAGGGTGGTGGTTGCCACGTCACTCATGCAAAGATGGCAACTTTATTGCGTAGATCAATGCATACAAAAAAAGAAACTACCAAGTTTTAACTACTGGTAGGTAATTCTTGAGATAATTGTAACACATCAAAAGACTGTCAGAAGTCAAAGTTAGTATTTAGTGTACGTCATAACCAGAATAAAGGACACATTCATGCTTGTCACTCTGAGAGCATTTTTAATATATCAACGTAATTCTTGCGCATACATGGATGTGGCACAACCACCTTAAACACATCATTAGCATTAGTGCTGACTGCAGGAATAAATTTCTTGCAATGTCTGTAATGAAATGGACGGGAATGTTGAAAAATTCTGTGCTGTATCTTTATTATTAACATTTCTTGTGGCTGCAATAACAGAAAGTTTTTATCTGTTTTCGAACATTGAAATTTTATGCATCAGTATAAAATCGTAAAGTCTTGTTTTCAATTAATATTCTGAATATGAATTAGTTTAATTATGAATTATCTAAGTTTAGAAAGACTCCCCTGATTCTTGCCACATCTGTTTTCAGCCGTCATCGAAAAAGTAAACACGGATATTTTGACCAACCCTGGAAGGTTATTTGCAGTTGTTTACTTCAATAGAAAACAGTATAAAGTGACTGTAGAAGATTTAATACTGTCAATTGAGCATATAGAAGCCGATATTGGTGAAAAGATTAGGTTAGAAAAGGTAAATACCAGTATATGAATTATATTTATTTACATGTTTGTTTGTGATTACAAATGAATCATGTTGACTTTCTGACACTAACAACACTTCCTGGTTTGAAACTTGATTCAAACTTGACCAAGAATTAATAATGAACTATAAGATGTCAGTCCCATATTAGATTCAGGAAAAACAATAGAAGTTTGGAGGGCCTTTGTCCCAGTGTCTGGCTTGGTTATTGAGCATACTTTTTGCGGGGGATACCCACTGGCCAAGGGGAAGACTTGACGTGAAGCTAGGTGATTAGGTGCTATACACAGACGTTGGGACGTTGGTTTGAGTCAATTGCACCAGTATATGTTCACTTTGATTCTTTGATTTGACATAGTATTTACCATGCTGTTTATTTGGTGTTAGGTAGTTACTTGCTGATACAATACTGTAAAGGGGTTAATTATTCACTGGGTTTTAATTTTGCTTATTTCGCTGACTGGAAAATGCGCTAAATTAAAACCCAGTGAATATGTAAAATTTAGCATAAAACACATTATCTAAATGATAAAACCGTGAATTTAAAACCCACTGAATGTGCCTGAAATGCTAAATCAGTGAAATTTAAATCCAGTGAAAATTAGTCATTTTACAGTACACTGGAAAATGCAACTCAGTGGTGACAAGTTTTTAGTCCCTGTTCGGACGAAGTCCGAAAACGGGGACTTATAATTCGGTCTCCGTCCGTGTGTCCGTCCAGAGTCATATCTCAGAATCCCTTGGACCGATTCCGTTCATTCTTTGCATGTTCCTAGTACTTTATGTGGGACATATGCACATGCAGTGGTTCAGCGATTCGATTCAAAATGGCTGACTAGCAGCCATCTTGTTTTTTGAAAATGTTGTATTTTGGACATGCTTTGTCAGTTTTCATTCAAACTTGGTACATAGATTATACATGTTAGGATACATGTCCATGACGATTTATTTCACAATTGGCTCAAAGATGGTCTACTTGTAGGCATCTTGTTTTTGTTTTTTTATGCGGTATCTTGGACGTGCTCTGTCAGTTTTCATTCAAATTTGGCACATACATGTACTTTATACATGTTAGGATGCATGTCCATGACAATTTGTTTCAAAATCTGGTCAAGGATAGCCAATTGACAGTCGTCTGACTTTTTGGCCTTACTACTTTCACAATTTATGTACCATTTTCATTCGTATTTGGCACATACATCATACATATCAGTGTGTTTCATAATCAGATCAAAGATGACCGAATAAGGGCTGTTTTTATTTTTGGCCATATTACTACTACACGGAACGCATGTTTTGATGTAAATAAACAATCTTTTGTATACGCCACTTGGAACTCAAGTTTCATGGACACGCTCGCGACAACCCCTCTGCTTTAATATGACGAACTCAAAGAGAACTTTCAAAAAATTAATGGGGACTGTGTCATGTATTTTCATACCTGGTCCATGTTTGTTTCTTACGATGTTTAATTGTATAGTTTTACACTGATCCTCATTTCTGGTTGACAGGTTCTCATATTTAATTTTCTTGGTTGAAACGTAAGACCAGTTGATTTTGTTATAAAATTGATTAATCTTTTTCAGATTATGATGGTTGGAAGTAATGACTTTTCTCTGATTGGACGGCCTCTTCTTTCGTAAGTTAAACATCACATATACTTTCATGTACTTTTTATGGTAGATTTCATAGTAACACACATTTTACTGTTTACTTATTAATGGATGTAAGAGGTTAACTATTACAAATTCCAGGACAAGAAATTGTGAATAAAAAAACTTATTTTTTTGCTTCTAGTTTTAAGCTGGATATTTTTTTCAGGATGATGGCATTTTTAGCTCTTCTGTCAACAAAAGTCAAGCAGAGCTTATCATATTACTGATTGTCAATCGTCTGTCGGCATCAACATTACATTTTTGATTTCTTCTTAAAAACTGTTGTATGGGCTTCATACTCCAAATGTACATTGGGTAGCTCTCTCTCAGATTTGTTCACTTTGTGATGATACCTTAAATTCTCTAATCTTAGTGAATCCTCTTGTCATTTTGGGTAAAAAATGCTATTTTCTACTTCTTTTTGATATGAATAAAATATTCACAGCATTTTAATAAAATAAATTGTATAATACATGTAGTAATATATCAGTTTACTATGTTTGAATCTATAATACTCTATGTCACTAGGAGAGACATGGTGGAAGTGTGGGCAACTGTGATCGAGAAAACAACAACACCAAAACAGATATACTTCAAAATGAAAAGAAGGAAAGGGTATAAAAAATGGGTTGGTAAGTATCACAGTAAAAGTTAATACAGTTCAAGTCAAATTAAAATTTTGTGTTTAATACTGAGCATGCTACTGCATGTATGCAATGCATTATGGGAAAACACTTTCTATTGTATATAATGGTAATGAAAACTCTGTAAATTAAATGTCAGTATTTTGAAATGTTAATATTAATTTTCATATCAATAATAATAAATGACTGACTTCATTTCATGTCACTGAACAAAGTGCAAACTAGCAAATTTGTGTCATTTACCATGACATTCCAAGGACCCCAAATTTTATTTATTTGCGAAGCACACAATGGAAGCGGTTAATAGTGAAAGATAGTATGTCTGTTCCACTGATATCTCGAGAACCAATTATCAGATTTTAATGAAACTTGGTACATATATGCTTTAGGATAATGCACATACCTGATTAGGTTTTGGTTGAAATCTTAATAACCCAATTTAATTTAAGCATTTTAACTTGTTCGCTGCATAGATGTAGACATCAGTACATATTCCCGAAGACGTCACTGCATATTCCTGATGACATCACTGCAAACCTCTGATGACATCACTGCAGACCTCTGATGACATTACTGCATATTCTTGATGACCATATCAACATCGACATGTTACTCAACTAAATTATATTTGTACAAATGATCTTAACCTCTGTTATATTTTTTGTCTTTTCAGAATATAAAGATAACCTCTCGGTTTTGAGAATCAACAGTATTGAGATCACACCACTAAAAGATAGAAGATTATAGGGGCTAAAAACATCTCATCTTATTTTATTAGCTAACCTGTTATCAATTTATTTTATCTGCCATTCAACAATGTCTTCTGAACATGTTGTTACTGCAAAATGCTCGAAATGTCTGGAAAAAAAAGAGGTCTTAACCCAATTTTACACTTTCTAATGGCTTAAAATGTAAGATTTTGACAAGGTCTGAT